TTGACCAGGATATGAATCTATTGATTCATCTTCTGAAGCAACAAATCTTGCTAGAATTCTTGAGGATCTGATATGGCAAGTTGAGAATATAGATCTAAAAATTTTTGACCCCAACTTTAATTGCCCATATTGAATTATTTAGGGAAATATAGCTATATGATCAATTCCCAAAATATCTCCTGGAGTAGTAAATTGAAAACCTATTGCTGCATTATTATAGAATTCACCTAAAAGGTTATGAATATTGGTTGGTAATATGGCATTTTCAGATTTTGGACCAAGAAATGTACCAGGAAATGGATCGAAGCCAAAAGCTTCTTCCTGATTAATAATATTTCTTAAATTATAAAATTGAAGAAGATCTTGTATTTCAAATTCATCTGAAATATCTATGCTACTACCCAATACTCTTCCTTTTAATATTGTTAGAGAATTGGATAATTTGACATCGATATCAGTATTTAATACAACTTCATCCAAAGAATTATTCGTGAGAATAATTCTCAGAAGCTCTGGTTCTATATTTCTTTGGCTAGTCTTATATGAGCCTATAAAATATAAATTATATCTACTGGTTAATATTATTATATAATATAATATATTGTATATATAACAATCATCTGATATCTACCTAGGACTCCATTTATATGTTCAAAAGAAAAACACCAAAATGAATATAATGGTCCATAATCTATGCAATTTTTGCACAAATACAAACTTAAATGGATATTAGGAGTAATTTTTTCAGAACCATAATTCTGTTCTATTAGCTTTGCTACATTTAATAATCTTTGATGAGCTTCGATAAGTGATTCTTTGTCTAATATTCTACAGACCAACAGATTACATGCTCTAACAAAGTTTGCAAGAATATGTTGGTCTGGTTCTGTTAATAAATCCTAAGTAATAGCAGTGGCATATATCATTATAAATGATCACTACTGGTCTGCTGTATATTCAGAAAATCTTTCTCCTGTAGCAATTTTATAAGGAATTCTCCCAATATTTGATGGAGGTTGTAATTTTTTTGCTCTTTTATTCATAAGTTTCAGGTTATCAATACTTAATTTTTTGCCTTCTATCCAAAGTCACATAACAATCCACTTTGCAATTCTCAAAAATAAACAATGCATTGGGTCTATGATTACATGTTTAATTGGGTTAAAATAAAGAAGACAGTAGAGTTTTGACCATCTCACCAAGTTTTTAGAGAAGTGTTTCTTTCTTTGATCCTTGGTCTTGCAATAAAGCCATTCATATACATCTTTTTTAATTTTCTCAATATCATGCTCTACAAACTAGTCATTCATATCTGAAAATCTACCAAAATTAGATTGATTTCTAGAATCAAACTGTGCATGTTTTTCATATTAAAAACATGCAATTCTTGCCAATATTTGTCCACATAGCTTTCTGGCCGCTAGAATGTTATATAAGTAATATATAATAGCACATTTAATTTTTTTGCTATTAGAAAATTCATTTGTGGGAATTTCTACTCCATTTCACAGTTCAATTAACTGATCGACCAAAGATGCAAGATAATGGTTAATAGAATCTGTTTTAACTTCTTTGGGTCCTAGTAGCAATGCTAGAGTAATTATATTTTGAGGTTTGAATCTGAGTCCACAAGGCAAATTACAGATAACTGCATATATTGCATCAGTAGAATATACCGAATTTTGGAAAGAACTAAACCAGTTCAGATTGATCATAAGGCCAAGATATGTATTGGCATGTTCTGGCATGAAGAAATCTTCATCTTGGTTTTTAAAATTCTTCTATGCATTACCATCATAAATATCGGCAAAATAATTATTATTTATATTTCTATTAACCCATTTTTTATATGATTCTTCAAATCCATTTTGGCTATATAATAACTTGAGCTAATGTTTAATACTGATACTGTAGTTGGATAAGTTAGCAAAGGATAAAACAACATTCCATCCTTTGTAGGTACCTTCTTTGCCAATTGTTAATTGCAAAGTTGTCTCTGTTTAGATATTGGGTGATTAGGATATTTTACAAAATTACAATTAAGACATATCAGGATTTGTCCAGTTTTTTTTGTTGTTACTTTATCAGGTTCATATAACTTATTACATGTCGGACAAGTTGTATAATTATTCATGTATAGATCTAATCCTATTAATTTTTAGACCATATATAATAATTCAGAAAAATTTTTGAATTGTTTTTGATTAAATTTAGTCAATAGATAATGCATAAACTTAATTAATAATTCTGTTGCAGTATTGGGCAGCCGATATCTTTGTTAGTATTTCAAGATCCATATTAATATCCAACTAAAGTCTTCATAATTTTCAATATCTTCGAATATTTCTTTATCACTACTTTCAATATTGGGAGCAGAATAATCTATTATGGTCTCCTTATCATTATCACTTTCAGATTTTATTTCTGTAGCTTCTTTATAATCAGAGTTATCTAAAGTCTTAAGTACTATATTAATATCAGATTGTTCTTCAATTATAACTTTTGTTTTCTTTTTATCCTTTTTAGTTACAAATAATGATTCTTCTTGAAGGTTAATATTAATTAAATCAGAAATATCAGGTAGATATGTGCTACTGCTTTCTATTTGAGGATCAATGAAAGAAGGAATATTGGTATAAAGTTCAGAAGAACTTGATAATTTTTCACAAATTCCATATTTTTCAATATGAGCATCTCTTGTTCGGGGATCACAGGGCTCTTTTTCATCTTTGCATATATTACATATACAAATAATCTTTTTTCGAGTTTTTGTTATAGGTAATTTAATAAATATTTGATAACTCATTTTTTAGTAATTTAAGAGTTTTGATATTGATATCAAGAGTTAAGGCAGACAAGAAGTCTTTAAATCCAAAATTTTGTAATATATTTTATTTGTTATATTACTATAATTTTTATAGTGATTAAACTCAAAACTGTAATAGCAAGGATGGATACAAAGATATCTAATTGAAAATTTTAATAAATTCCTTTTATGTATTGCATTTTTTTACTATAGGTTAATAGATATTATTTAAAAATTTCCTTTAACAAAATATTTTTAAAGTTTCTTGCAACATTTTTCAAACTATTAGTACAATTAAAGAATGGAAATCTTCGTAAACCAAAATAGGAGTATCAATAATTAGTCTATCAAAAATAAACAAAAAAGAAAATAGTATTAAATTGCAATATGATTTTCTGATATAAGCATAAACTTATTGTACGATGCAAATCTAACTTAAATAAGTAATATAATGCTTATAACTAAATGATATCTACGAAATAACAATGAAAATAATTAAAGGGTACAATTTTAAGCGATCACTAGCAAAATGCCAATATTTATTTCTGTAATATTAATTGAAAGAATAATACAGTTACAAGTATTGATACTGATATTGATATAAATATAAACTGTATATCTATAAAAGGTATCCATTATAAAATATTAGAACTCTAATTTGTATAGCCTATTAATGAGATTTTGATTAAGATGAAAAATCTGGTATCCTGATATCTATATAATTAT